AATATTCATTAAGGAAAACTTAACGAGCTCTCAGGGCTGCTGGGGGGTGTCAGGGTCCCCATATTCCCTCAGTAGAGCTGGGGGATCCCCAATCCCCACCAGCATTCCGGTCTTGGCTCCGATCACCCGGTTCCCAGGCCACGAAGCTCCATGGGACAACTCCCAGTTTATTTATCCAAGGAAGAAAGGGGGAAAAAACCCAGCAGTTCCCAAAATCAAAGGCTCGGGGTGGGTTTTCTCCCATTTTATCCCAGCTCCCCTGGCAGAGCGGTGCCAGCAGAATTCCTGCACCTCCTTACCCCGGAGATGTCGGCCACCCGGTGAATCGGCACCTCCTTCTTGCTGTGCAGCCCCTTCCCGTTCTTGATAGCCCTGGAAAACAGGGAGCACCGGGAGTCAGCACCTGCTGCGGTGGGAAGGGCTGGAGTCATCCCTGTGCCCACCGGGAGGGCCCGGGCACTGCAGCTGGATAGTCCCATCATGGGAACAAGGTCTTCCCGGGATAACACGGAGGCAGTGAGGAGGCTGAAGGAGGGAATACCTGGAGGCACTGAAGGGATTGGAAAACCCAGTGGGATGGTGGAGCCGGTGCTGGGCCTGGACCCGATGCCAGACCTGGACTTGTTGCCAGTCCTGGACCTGATGCCAGACCTGGATCTCCTGCCACAGGGTTTGGCATGGGAGGCTGGGAAAGGTCGGATTGTGCCGGGAGGCTGGAGGAGCCCACGGCACAGGCACAGGCAGGGCAGTCTGGGATGTGACTCCGGGCTCTGCTGAAGAGTGGGAATGTCGAACGGATCACCCCAACTGCTCCGAGCCCCCCTCCACTGGGAGATCTGGGCCTTGCAGATCTCACCCCAAATCTCCCATTCTCTCCATCCCTGGCATCACCCTGGAGTCGCTGGCTCTCCTGCCCAGTGCCAGCACAACCACGGAGTCGGGATGTGCCAGGGATTCCGGCATGAAAAAGCCACTCACCGGAAGTGAGCGGGAACATCCAGCACCTCCATGGTGGGCACACCCAGGATCTGCCCCCCAGCACCTGGAGTGCTGCTCCAGGCTCCACGTGCCACATCCCAGCCCGGGCATCCCAGTGCCTGACTGGAACCTCGCCCACCCCGCAGCGCTCCGGGATGCTGATTTCCTGCCAGGCCTCCCAAAAGGCACATCCCAGGAATGAGCCTCCCAGCAATCTGCCGGCCGCCCACCCCGCGGACACGGAGCCGGGGAACGGGAGCGGGAGAGCCCGTTTATCCGGGTGGATCCGCCCTTTCCCTCAGCAGCCAGAGTCTCGCCCGGGAACGCGCCTCAGCCCCCTCCAAGCTGCTCCTCCCGGCTCTCGGCATCGTGCCGGGATCTGCTGCCAAAGAGCAGCTGAGATCCCACATCCCGCTGGGCTCGGCTGTGCCGGTGCCACCTCCGGAGCCGCCGGATCCAGCCGAGCCGGAGAGGGAAGGGCATCCATTGGCATTCCTGTGTGCCATCCAGGAGGACGGGCTGAGGGACAGGGACACGGGGACACGTGTGGATGTGGGGGGCTCCCAGCACCGGGATCGTCCCTGTGGAGCGGCGAGGGTCGGGAACAGCGATCCCCACGGAGATGGGGGGGCACCAGGACATGGGGGGGTTGAGCAGTGGGATCACTCCACAGGGAGCTGGGAACACCTGGAACACCTGGAACACCTGGGCCAGGAAGGGCTGGGG